AATTCAAAGTGCAAAGAGAATCGAGATGTAGCTCTCGCCTTTATGTCAAATTTGATCAAATTAATTAGCACTTAAACTTGCACAACACTTGGGTCTTTTTCAAGAGTTTTAGTTGGATAAGTAATCAAAATCTTGTTGCTTGAAGCTGCATGTCGTCTTGTACTCAATTGGTTGAGCCCCACAATTGTATTATATTTGTTGATAATAACAATCATATTATTGAATTCGAGTGTTATTTGTCTTCACTGGGCCTACAACTATGAGAAAAGCAACATGAGGTATGCCTCAGGTTCAGAGATCAGCTATGCCTCAGGTTTCTACAACATGCAAGCAAAGTTCGTTGAAGATGACAAATATTGATGGATTCAAAACGGATGACCAACGTGAGGTAGTCAGTCTCACTAAAAGTTCTATGCTAAATGTGCGAGTTGTCTTATCAACAGTGAATATGGATCGGTTGTACAATAATTTTCAGCAACTCTAATGGTCTTTGGTTTGTCAGCCGGCAAGAAAACTCGTTCGTGTAGTCGGGTTCGTTGCAGACTGATTTTGATGCATGCCTTCCTCTGGACACGACAGGGTTAATTAACGATCGAATGCAGTGGGTTCTTGATAATGATTTTTCTGACAAAAAAAACCGCATGAAATGCTTTCTTCGGATGTAATAAGGTTTTACAGCTAGCTTTCTTCGGATCTCATAGTCTTGGAATCCGGTTGTGGCAGACAAGGCTGAGTGGGTTGGCTTACTTATCCTTCCATCATGTTTTTCTATGTTGTGTAATTCTTTTGCCCCCAAGTCATCGAAATAATTGGTGGGGTAGTTGTCTTCATCTGATAATTCTAATGCTAATTCTTCTTCATCTTCTTCGTTGAGATAATCTGCTAATTAATACCTGTCAAAAATTTCTGGATACTTGGTGCTGGCAATAAAATCTGACAAAAGTCTGGAGAAAAGATATAAAAGGGCACATTGAAAGATATTTCAGTAGAATGCACTGAGAAACTGCGTGATTGTGATTTCACGTAGAATAGAAATCAACCTTATATGTGTACCAAGTGTTTGTGATTCAGTCATATATGATCTTGAGATGTTTGGTTAGCTGCTCTGCTGCAATGTTAAGTTGGAGTTAGTGAATTCATTTACTAAACATTAAAGTGACAATGCTTAATTGGTTTGCATTTTTCCATTAGCTGTTTTGAATGTCAGAAGAACAGATGAGAAAGATATGCACAACCAGCCAGCATCCCCATGATCAGAAAAATCAGCCACCACTGCCAATTTGTCATCACCATCACCTCAACCATTTTGGCAGCTGTCTGTCAAGTGTCAACTAGATACACATGATATTTTACATCACTTCATGCATTCTCTCATGTCCACCTTTCTCTAACTTTTGAAGACCACAAAGAGCCATCCTCCAAAATTGCTAATAAAGTGCTCCTCATATTAAAGCTTTAGAAATTTAGGGGAAAAAACTAAGTAAAGTCAACCAAAAATCCAACATCAAAGAAGAAAAAATGTAAAGATCAGTATTTTTAAGGTCTCTAGAGCCTAGTCTTTCCTTGGCTGAGTATTTTTCCTGAATCCAATCTTGAAAAGCAATAGAAGCCTCTAGCAATATCGATCACTTGCATTCTGATTCGGGAAAACGCATTTAAAAACTAGAACACGGACCCTACTTTGTACCACGCAACTCAGTTTATTTGGGGCTCGTGTTCGAGTCTATTGAGTTATCCACCACCAAATACGTGTTTCACAGAAATTACATGTTACTCACAATGGCGTAAGAGATGACAAAGGATAAGGTCATGAATAGAGGTGTCAAAATGGGTGACTTGGGCGGGTTTGGGTTGGGTAAAATGGGTAATGGATATAAGTGAGTCAACTCATTTATACCCATTTAATTAGATGGGTATAAATGGGTAAGTCAAAAAATGAATTGGGTAACCCAATTACCCATTTATAACTCATTTATTTTAACTTTTTGCAAACTCATTTAAATTCATTTTTGCAAACTAAGTTATCAATTTATACCACTCTTTGTACCCATCATTAGTTTTAAATATTTACTTATAATGTTCAATAAACTTAATTACCAATTTTTTTCATTTATACTCTATGTTACAAAATTACCTATTATTTAATAATTGAATAATACGAATATAAAAATTTGAATTAAGTACTATAAAAATTAATATAAAAACTTAATCCAAAAATTTTGAACCCCTAACATTTTTTTCATATATAAATTTAAAATTTCATTTTATAAAGATAAGAAAATAAGCTAAAATTTATCATAAATTGGTAATGCTAAAAAATGAGCAAGTTAACAAACTAAGAAAAAATAAAATAATAAGATAAAACCAACAAATAATAATAATAATAATAATGTTAACATCATGACAAAATGAAAAATTTGAAAAAAAAAAGGTAGGGGAAAAGAAGAGACTTGGGGGGAAGAGAATTTTAAATGGGTTAATTGGGTTTGATGGGTTACCCAATAATACCCATTTAATAAATGAGTATTATTGGGTAACCCATTTATACCCATATACAAAAATTTAAGATACCCATACCCATCTATTCATGGGCGGATATGGGTAAATCTAGTTAAGTGGGTTGATTTGCCACCTCTAGTCATGAAGAAGGGTACAAATCAAATCAAGTCGAGATTAAGCAGTACATTATTTGAATTCGGCTCGAATTAAAAAACTTGGATTCAACCTCAATCTCTAACTTATCGAACTTTTAAAAGTCGAGTTTGAACTCAAATTCGATTTTATTGTGCCTTATTCAAGCTCGAGTTCGAATTCATGCAAATTGAGTCTAGTCAAACTTTTTTTTTTTTTTTTTGAGTCTAGTCAAACTTAATTCAAGCTCAATTGAGCATAATTGAATTTAAGAAACATAAATTTATATTTTATATTTTAAGCAAGAGGCAAAATCGGCATTTTATACTGACAAATAAAAAAAAAACATTTATATGTAAAACTCAATCGAGTTTGATTAAATTCGGCAAGTTTTTAATCTTTGCATATTAGGCTCGAACTCAAGCTTGATAGGATTTACAATTGGTCGACTCATTAGGCTCGAACATTTTGAGGTTAATGTGACCGAACAAACTCACCAACTAGTTGATTGAGCTCGACTCATTTGCCCCTGTCCTGGCTTTGCAAGTGAAGCATAGCAACTATGCACTTCCTACCATTCGAACTCTACGTTTTGAATGTGAACTTTGAGATGCGAATGTCATTATGATAGGATCTGTTTTACGGAAATTAGTCATTTGAAATCATGTAAGATAATTAAAAAAAAAAAAAACAAAGTTAGTTTTCAAACTAATATAAATTTAGGTCATATCAAAAAATTATTAGACATATTACGTTAGTTATAGATTTATAAGATAATTTTTTTCCAATTTCCAATAAAAAGATATTTTACGTCATCGAATTATAATTTATACTCAATTAATTATAATGTCAAGTGATACCATTCACTAATTGATTGTTTTGGTATATCATACTTTAGGAACTATCTTTGGCACAAAAATTACCGAAACAAATACTTGCAACGTGGAATGCATGTACTCCTATGCCAGTCTTTACAAGGACATCAATTGCGAACATGAAAGATTACGTGTTTGAAATGCAACCTTTTGTACAAAATGTATTTACGTAACATTGATTAATGCTTGTAACTAGAGGTGGCAATTTGGATTGAAATCCAGTTATTCATCCATATAATCCATAATTAAATGAATTTAGATTATCCATTTATAGTATTGATTTTAAATGATTGACCAAAGTAAAACCATTAAATTAAATGGATTTATATGGATTATCCATAAACTTAAAAACCAAATAAAAGAAATGAAAAGGAAATAACTAAAACCATATATTTCTTCACGTTATTGAGCAGCGAGAGTCACCAGACTTAGACCCGCACACAAACAAAACGGGACCAACTAATTTAACCATATATTAACTGCACAGTCTGCACCCACACATGTATGTGTATTTACCTAATAATAACGATTAAAAAAAAAAAGAAAGTCCCAGTAAATATTTTGCACTACCAGTAATCTTAGCCACCTTTATTAGTTTCTCTTTGGTTTATCTTCATTGTTTATCCTTTCGTGCGGTGGATCATTATTATTATTAATTTTTCTCTTTTTCTACTTTTACACTTGTAATTAACAGATTAAAGACCTTGTCCTTCTCCTCTTCTTGGACTTGGACCAGTTTAGTAGTAGTAATAAATTGCAGTGCTTAATTGATATATCAGGCACTCAGGAAAGAAAATTAAGGTTGTTTGGTTATTAACTTCACGTCTATCATAGACATTTTATTTTGGATCATTTGGAGATAAAAGCGTCTATAGAAATGTTAAAAAGATTATAATCTGTGGCTGGAGAAGAGTAATTAAAGACTGAATAATTCTGATTTATATTGATGTATACTTACTTTATGGAATGAAAAATATAATATCTGACGAGTAATAAAGAATACATACACACACATATAAAATCTAAGTATTTTGTCCTTTTTCTCATTCATATACACCTAAAATTTACAAGTACATAAAAAAGTATTTTCATATTACAAGAAATGGTAATACAAAAAAAAATAACCAAAATATATAAATGGATTATAAATGGATAATTAGTTTTTATTTAATCCATTTAGATCCATCCATTTAGATCCATTTATTAAATGGATCTAAATGGATTGGATAACTTTCATCCACCATCCATTAAGTCAAAACCAATTATGAACCATTTATCCATATTGCCACCTCTACTTGTAACAATATATGGAAAAAAATGCATCTTCCTCGTGAATTTTGTTTTGCGATGCATACACTTTTTTAGAAATTTTCCAAAAAAAAAAAACATACAACTTATGTATTTTTGACTCTCAATGTAAAAGGAGCCCTTTGAGAGCAGCTCAAGTGCTAATCACAACATCCATTTAGCAAATTCACAAGCTAAAGAATAAGGATGGCAACAAAAGTTTCGCCACCGTCGGCACAACTATTCCTGCTGCTTTCTTTGATTCTTTGGCCCTCGATATCTGCAAAATCAGGACACTTTGTGCTCGTTCATGGTGCTTGTCACGGAGCATGGTGTTGGTATAAGTTGGTATCTCTCCTGCAAGATGCAGGGCACAAAGTTACAGCCCTGGACTTAGCTGCCTCCGGGATTGATACAAAACAGGTGTCAGATTTGCACACCATTGACGACTATCATGAACCTCTATACTCGTATCTAAAGGCTCTATCGCCCGATGATAAGGTCATTCTTGTTGGCCACAGCATGGGTGGCTTCGCGGTTTCCTCTGCCATGGAAAGATTTCCTGAAAAAATCGCGTTTGCAGTATTTGTTGCAGCACAGATGCTTGGACCTGAGCTGAGTATATACAAGCTCCTGGAGCACTACAATACCACAGATGGAAACCTTTTGGATCCTCTTAAAACACTATATCAACATTCGGAGAAATTTCTAACTTTGTGATGAATTTTAAAAAAATTCTACAAAAGGGGTGATTTTGGCGAGAGAATCCGTCGGAGGGTCTTCGCATTTCACGAATGCGAGCTCTCTCAGCAGAGCTCGCATTCGTGAAATGCGAGCTCTGGAATGCGAGCTCTTCTGAGCCCAGAAGTTGCTTACAAAATGCTTTATATTACAAATTGACTCGAGACACCTAAATGATTGTTGTATTCAACCTAAGGCCAAAACATCACCAGGACTAAAACATCAAAGTCCGCATGGCAGTGAAAGTTTTTGTATTCTGGAGGCTGAAGTAATCAATACAATCATTACTACATAAGTTAAAGTTATTGTGGATAGATCTTTATATTTGTTGCAATAATTAAGATGACGATTATTTCACAAGTAATAGAGCTGTGAAAAAGTAACTTCGGCATGTTTTTCATCCTGTGATTATATGTTGATCTGCTTAATCTTTGAACAGCATCCCTGTAGAACTTCACTCCTCCTGTCAGAGTGCAAATATTGCAGCCTATTTTAGACACCTTTAGGATCTTGATTCTTGCAAAGAAGAAATAAAACCCAAAAAAAAAAAGAAAGATTTCAAACTTATATTCTTGAAAAGAACGCTTCTATACCAATTAAGTATGATAACATATAACACAAATAATGCACCTGTTCTTCATATGCATCCACAATTCTGAGAGCTCCTTTGTGTGTAATGGCTTCACAAGATAGTCAGTAGCCCCAAGTCTCAAGCCTTTTTTTTTTTTCCAAACACAGCTCGCATTCCACGAATGCGAGCTCAATGCGAGCTCGCATTCGTGGAATGCGAGCTCAGTGAAATGCGAGCTCAATGAGCTCGCATTCCCAGAATGCGAAGACCCTCATTTGTAGAAACAACTCCAACAATCGCCCTCGTTGTAGAATTCTTTTTTTTTTCCATCATAAAATAAGAATTCACCCCAACATTCGCCGCGTCCGGATTTAGCACTTGCATCGTTGTTGATGAGAGAGGGCAAGGCTTTCAATGATGATGAATCAAGACGACAGCTTCTAGTTACAAAGGAGAAGTTTGGATCAATTGCTAGAGCTTACTTTCTAGCCGGAGACGACAAGATAATACCGGTTGATCTTCAAAGGTGGATGGTACAAAATAATCCGCCTGATTTGGTTAGAGTGATAGACGGTGCAGATCATATGGTCATGATCTCTAAGCCGGAACAGCTTTACAACTATTTGATTGAAATAGCTGTGCTGCTGAAGAACTATGCTTCTATCTAGTCAGTCGACATTAGACGTTTAAGGCTTCCTTTTGCATATGGTCTTCGACATTTCTTGATGCGTTTGCAGGTGTTTGGACCCTTTCCCAAGTTTCCATTTCAATGTAATTAGTCCCTATTGGTATTGTTTCAATGCTTCTGCGGGCACCAAAATTGATGATAATCATTTCAAGGAAAATTTCTGACAAAGAGCATCGTAGTTAAGATCTTAAATGAAAATGTTAGGGACCACGCCTCACCGACCAGAGGAAAAATGACACACAAGTATAGAAAGATTTCAGTCAAAAAATATATTGAGTTTGCGTGATCCTGACCGATTCTCCCCAGGAAACAATTTTCTCCGTGAAACAGTAAAAGCTTTTGGTTATGGAGTCATATGAATTGTTTTACGCAGCCCACCTACTTCCAGCTGAAAAGTTGCTACAATATCACGTAAGTGTATAGAAACTATGGGACGTCATCCCTTTCTTTGGGATGCTGGAGGTCAGGGTTCAACCCCTACCTCTCACAACTTGTCACCCTACGTGGCTGGTCTTTGTCCTCACGGGATAGTTCGAACGATCCGCTCCCCCTCCTTAGGATATGGCGACCTTCCTGGCTTGTTCAGGGTTCGAATCCCGCTGTTAACGTGTTTGGTGTGGAGTGGGGCCTTCTTTCCCGGATCGCAGGAGATTAATCGGATCCCGTAAGAATTGATCCGGACACCCCGATATCGACAAAAAAAACAAAAAAAAGTATAGAAACTACGGGACGATTATGTTCAAATTAACTTATATTCTTGTGCTATCCGTAATCGGTAAAATTTCACTGGAAAGCTCCACCGACCCCAATCACTCCAGTCTCGAGACGTCCTCTCCCCTTTTGTTTTCTCTTTTCCTTTTCTTTTCTTAATCAATCAATCAATCATCTATCTATGCCTTTTGCTAGAAGCGATGGACTTGAGATGACCACTCAGCCCTATCCATTCTTTAGCCTTTCTCTCTCATACATTGCCCATCGTGGTCAATGAGATATCTGAAGAGATCCCCATCAAATTCAACTTTCCTGTTGTCCTCTCTTCTTCCATCTCCCTTTTGTTACGGGAGAATAGATGGTGAAAAAAAATCAGTTGAGCACTAAAAAATATTTTGATTAAAATAAAATAAAGGAAAGAGGAAAAAGTTTTGATTCTTCTAATTCCTCCACTTTCTTATGCTCGCGTTCTTTTGTACTTTTTTTTGCTTTCTGAAGAAACCATACGTTGTGGGTTTTGCTGTTTTTTCCCAATAGAGCAAGGGATCAATGATAAATGAGGCATCTTTTTCAGATTTGAGGTTATGTTTAAGAGTTTTTACCAATGATTTTTTAAATTAATAGCCTATTGTTGTTTGTTTTTGCTTGAACTATTTTTATCTATCGGTAGACTCCTTGATTTTCAAGTTTAGAAGAGATTTTTGCAATTTTTTGGGACGAAAACAGCTTGGATGAGTTTTCAGGAAAATTGCCTCGGCGAGTTTCTTGCTACAGATTTATGTGTTTTGGATTATTGTTATCGAAGTGCTTTTGCCACGATCAATCATAATAACTTTTCATTGCTTATGAAGTGTATATTTGTCTACACGTATTACGACATTTCAACGTTCAGATCCTCGGGTCGCATGGATTACAAGAAGAAAAAAGAAAAGAAGTGGGGAAAATCTCTATAAGGGTCTTGTTTTCTTGCTTTTTAGGTGGAGAAAAGGAGTTGAAAAGTTGGGGGCATCTTCCTTTGCTGTTTACTGTTGGTACGTAGAGAAAAGAAGGATTTGAGCACCAACCATGCAAGCCTGAACTTTTTTGAGTCTGGAAATGGCTTGTTTCTAACTATTCAAAGTAAATTTTCTATTTAATTTACAAGGAAAACAGATTACTTTTCCTTGTTTCTTCTTTTGTGTGGCAAATGAAAGAAATTTAATGAGTTTAGGATTTGAGTCAATAAGCAATAAATTCAGCAATTGGCAGTTGAGAATTGGTATTTAAAGAATTTTCTTCGACCCGATTTATGGCCTTCGCACAGAAATGAAAAAAAAAGAAAGAAAGAAAGAAGAAGAAGAAAACAAATTTTTGGATTTGTTAAAGAGTATAGAAACAGAAGACGGCGGCAAACACAGCATCATAATTTTTTTTTTTTTTCACATTAGCGGCACATTCTAGTCTAACCTATCCTACTTCTATTTCTAAGAGGGGGAACTTAAGCTAAGAGAAGCGACTCTAGAGAGTGGGTCAAATGAGTCGGAGAAACCTGACGGGAAATTAACCACCATCTGATCAGACGAATGCACCACTCACTCGCATGAATTTAACATTTCTCATATTAAAACACATTGATAAGATTCAAGATTTGAACCCTTAACCTCCTACTCTACTATATACAACGGTGGCAACTCCTCTATTGAGAGTTGGCTGAAGCGTCATATTTAGGTGGCCGAATTGCGACCGAAATCTATGGGACCAAGAGTTTGGAGCCGACATTTCATGGCTATAACATATGCTCTACACGTGGTGGCGAATGTCTGGCCCATCACCCGACAGCCAACACCGTTGCTACCCCTGCCTTGGAATATGAACTTCACCAGATACCCCTTTTGGATCAACTCAAGTGGCATCTGTTGTCCGGTTGAGAAGGGATTTACTACCTTTTCTGTTGAGAAGGGAATCCGCAGCAGTAGCCCACAAAAGTGGGTACTGGATAAATACTATCTCGTACCATAACCCACAAAAGTATGTACTAAATAAACTCTATTCCATGCAATAGTCCGTCAATCACGTAAAAGAATAAGACATACTAAACAAGTCTTATACGATACATTCAAGAGTGCACATTAGATAAATTATTTCCAGTGCAATAATCTGCAAGAGTACGCACCGAGTAAATCCTATTCCGTGTAATAGCTTGCCAATCACATAAAATGGTAAGACGCACTAGACAAGTCTTGCGTAATGGACGGATGTCCTAGGAGAGGTTCGAATTCGAATTGACAGGAAAGCATAACGCAAACTCTACTATTTCGACCAACTTAAGAAACGTGATTTACTATCTTTGTTTTGGGGGTGTCCTATTTTATACTCTGTCCTTGCACATTCTACCGGATAGTACCGTTTGTACACCATTTTACTTCACCATGTTGGCATAATAAAATAACCTTTTAGGAGTTTCTCATTCAATTTCGTTAATTCTAATAGTTTTCCTATTTAGAAATGGGTGTATTATCAAGTAATTAATTATATGGTTGTTTTTTATCCTTCAAGTTTTTCTAGTCATAAATACGGTACGAGTATTTCTCTAAAAGGGTCTACTGAGTTTTTTAAAAGGTATGTACATGTTACTTTTTGGTTTTTTACTTACTATGAATTATTGATTTGGTGAAAAATGTTGATGATTTCATCAGAACTGAAAAATTATTTGATGATCGTGCTAGTGGGAGTTTAGAATTGTTAGGTGAAGAAATTTATAACAAGAGAAGAGACTACGAGTTTATGATTACTGAGAAGATTTGACGATTACGGTGATAAATGTATAAACATCTTTCAATATTTTGGTCAACAAGAGATTACAGCAAAATTTTTTGCACGGTTCAAAGCTTGTCCTCTGGTTGACTACAAGGTGTTGCGTGTAGTGCGAATAGTCATAGAATAAAAAGATTGCAAGTGATATTGCCCAATGTCTTGCTTTATCTTCATACAGCATTTCCTACGCCTATCATTTTTGGGGACTTGAAAATA